AAGAGAAACTCTGTTTGATAAAGTGCTGAAAGACAAGCCTCCTAGGTTGGGAGGTACACAAAATACCACAGTGATTGCAACAATGCATTGTAGCAGACCAACAACTGTGAAGACGGAACTGCCTCACTGTCATCCATGGGGCTGCCAGGAGTCAGAGCCTACTGGATGGTAATGCACAAAACCAGTAAGCTGGGGGCAGGCTGTCCAAAGGACAATAGAAGTGATCACAGCTAACTCCCTGTTAGGTACCAGCGAAGTAGCCTTGAGAAGCATCACCTAGTAAGAATCTGCTGACGATTCTCCAACAGAGCTCCCCCTCAAACTGCTCAGACACAGGAAAAGCAAACTGCACCCAAATCCTCATTTCTGCCTGCCTTCATCTAATGCGGTTAATGAATGATTAAAAAAAAAGAGAGAGACTTGAGTACCAGACCCCAGAAAACTGAAAACCAGTCATTCTTGTTAATTCTTAGGCTGATTTAATAAACAGTTATTGACTACTGCTCCGAATCAGGTACTCAGGGTTCAGAGATGAATGATGAGATATGGTCCCTACCATCAGAGGCCTGGGAGGGGGAGAGGCAGGGAAACAAATAGTTACAATATATGCATTCATTCACTCAGTCACTCATCCATCCATCCATCCACACATTCATCCACCCACCCACTCATCCATGCATGCATCCATGCATGCCTCCATCCATCCATGCATGTATTCATCCACCCACCCACCCATGCATGCACACATGCATACACCTATCCATCCACCCATCCATGCATGCATGCATCCACCCACCCACCCATGCATGCATGCATCCACCCACCCACCCATGCATGCATCCATCCATGCATGTATCTGCACATGTATTCTGGATCCTAAATTGTAGCCAGGACACACCACTTAGCAGCCTTGAATATTTTAAACAAGTTGAACTATGGAGAGTTTTCTTCTGACATTTCACAAATTGTAGCTTGTCCCCTAATCATCTGCAGTTGGAAACGTTAAAATCGGGAGCAGAGGCTGAGCCCTGGTGTGGAATTTAGATGCTGCTGGAGTGAGTGCTGGCAAGTTACCAAGGGCTCCTGAGCCTCAGTTTTGTTTTAAATAAATGGGGGCAAGTGCTTGGACTGTGGACTGTGGACTGTGGACTGTGGGCAGGTTTCCAAGGAAACAATGTGCTGGGAAAACCACATGTCTCCCTCTGAGCTCCTATAGCATTCTGTGTGCACAACTCTCAAGAGACAGTCTAGTTGGGCTTCCGTGTGTTTTTGTGAAATACAAGAGACTAGATCCACATGGACTAGCTCACAGCCTGGCACAGAGAGGGCAGGCCACGTTTTTGCTGGCCCAACAAATCAAGTGCTTATTTCCAGCCCCTGTTCATAGTCTGGGCCATGGTGGCAGGTCTACTGTTGAGGAGGCTCTAGGTCATAGTGGTTTAGACGCTGGCCTGAGAGACGAGACGTGGGAACCAAGTTCCACCACTTGGTAACTAAGGAAATAAGTCACTTATTCTTTCTGAGCCTCAGTTTTGCACTCTATAAAATGGGGAAAAAGCCATACCTAGCCTCACAGGTGGTGAAGATGTGTTGTGGAGTCAGTTCTGACTCAGTGACCCAACCAGCTGACCCAACCAGCTCAGTGTCTGTTTACCAGGGGCTCACGATCCACCCTCCCTCCTTTCTTTCAAAGTTTGCCTCTATGGTTTCCATGGTCCCTCCCCTGTTCCGCTTCTCTTGGGCCTCAGAGGGAGCGGACACAGTAAGAACTGACTCAGGTGGGCATTTCAGTATTTGACGGTGGCACAGTTAGTGAGAGCAGTAGGGACACAGGCCTCCCAGACGCTGCCACCTCTAGATAATCCCCACTCAGTGATGGATCCAGATGTCATCTGAACTCATCCTGGGACACCCGGACACTTAGCACCCTTACACTCAGATTTGACAAAGACCACTGGCTCAGAGCAGCTTCAGGTACCCTTGAAGTTCAGACATTCTTAGAGTTTGCCTCTTACCATTTACTGAACCCCAAATTCTATTTTCTGGCTACGCCAAACCTCTTTTGGTTTCTCAGCTTCTCTGTTCCCTCCCTTGTCTCTGGACTTTCGTCCATATGGTTCCTTCTAATGGAACTGCTCTTACCTTTAGCTCTTTTCTCAGCAACCCCTTCTCATTAGATAGGCCTTGAGACAAATGCTCCTTCCTCCAGGAAGCCTCCTTGGATTTCCCCAGCCTGGGCTGGGTGCCCCTCCTTCTCGCCCTGCCTGTTTCAGGCTGGTTAGTAAAGGAAGACTCAGTTTCCTCTCTCTTTGGCCTGTGAGTTCCATGAGAGCAGTCTTGTTCTCTGTCCTGCTCACAACATTCTCACCAGTGCTTAGCACCCCAACGGGCACATACCAGTTGCTGTCCCGTTGAGTTATACTCATGCCCACCCCATGTATGTGAGAGGAGAGCAGGGTTTTCAGTGACTGATTTTTTTTTGGAAGCAGATTGCCAGACCTTTCTTCCATGGTGCCTCTGAATAGATGTGAACCACCAATACGGTTTTCAGCTAAGCCCATGAACTAGGTATTTAGTAAATATTTGTTGAATTTAATGAAACTCCACTGTCTACATAGGTGCCCTAATGGGACAGTGGCTAAAACATTTGGCTGCTAAACAAAAGGATGGTTGTTCGAACCCAGCAGCCACTCTGTAGGAAAGAGCTATAGCAGTCTCATGCTATAGAGATGACAGCTTTGAGAACCCTATAGAGCAGTTCTACTCTTTGTTGTAAGCATTGTTATTAATCTGAATTGACTTGATGGTAGTGGGTTTTATTTTATTTGATGTTTTTTATTATCTACTCTGGGATGGAAGTAAAAGGAACTTTGTAGATTGTGGCCATTAGTCGGAAAAGATCAAGGATAGAAGAAAGGAACTTCTGTAACAGACTGGACAAGAAAAATCATCCCTTCATTTCAATAAGGGACTTGGGGCTAGACTGCAGCGGCTTCTACAAAAGCAGTTGGGAAAATGGCCAGAGGGAGGTAGTCAGAGGGAGGTGTCTGAGTGATGTCACTGGTCACCTGGGCACACTTCTAACCTCCTTGGGCTCCACTTGGAAACTGACGGGATGGTATGGAAACATCTATTTGGTTGCTCGTTAAATTGCTCTTTTAACAGCCGACAGGACTAAAGAGCAAGGTTTCCAGAGGGTTCTATTTCTTTTGCACGGGCTTCATTTGACTACTGGATGAATGAATGAACGGCATGGTTGACAGTGTTCATGAACAAGGAGGCATGGTGATTTCAGGGCTCCTTGGAGGCCTCACAGATCAGCTTTACTCTCTTGTTTTTAAAGAGGATGTGGGAGACGCTGTAAGTGACCACCTGAGAAGCCACCCTGGGCATAGACAGCTTCCTCCTGGTTGCAAGCTGCCCCCAGGAAGAGTCGGGCTAAAGGTAGAGCTCAATCTCCCTCCTCCTCCCACTCCCCACATTCCCTCCTACAGTCACCCCCAAACACTGACTTGAGATTTGCACAGCCCTCTCCAGAAGCTCAAACTCCAAGGGCTTCAGTGGTAAGTTCCTTTCTGGGGATGACTTGGCCATTAGTAACCATGGCAACCTCCCCTTCCCTGGCTGTCCTGGCTCCTCAGGCCTCATTCACACCAGTCTCTTCCAGAGCCAAGGCTTATGGGTAACTATCCCAAGCCACTACAAGCATGGTGACTTTAATGAAACACCAGTGTGGTTCCCTTTTTCGGTGACAAGGTAGATCCGAGGACCTCCCAAGCTTTTTGAGTTAGAAGAAACAACTCCAAAGCTCTTCCCGTAAACTTGGATACTTACTCTTTAAAAAAAGGAAAAGCTGTATTTTTTCCACGTTTGCCTCTTACATCAGCCAGTACAAAGCTGGGGGGAGGGAGTGTGTGTTGCTCTTGTAAGTACAGCTGGACTTTGGAAGGAACAGGCATTAAAGCGTGGTGCCCAGACAGGCCAGATGCTGCAGATTACACAGTATCGCAACCTTGCAAATAAGGGCATATCATCTTTTTTTTTTTTTTCCCCTTTTTTACAGAAACCTTTCCAAAGGGGAGTAAACCGGAAAAGTGCTGTTACGCTGAGGGGATTTCAGCCAATGCAAAGGAACAAGAGAGGGATATTCTGAATGGGAAATGAATTTGCTCTGTAAACCTTCACTCAGCCTACAATTAAAAACAAAACAAAACAAAACAATAAATCACTGTGGTCGACTCAATTCCAGCTCAGTGATGCTAGAGGACAGAGTGGAACTGCCCCATAGGGTTTCTGAGGTTGCAAATCTTTACGGAAGCAAAACTGCCACATCTGCAGAGCAACTGGTGGAGTTGAACCGCTGACCTTTTGGTTAACAGTCCAATGTTTACTCTGCTGTGTCCCCAATAACATGAAGAAATAGAGAAAGTTACATGTTCTCTGCCAACTGGAAAGTTGACTAAAAAATAAATTAATTAAAAATAAATAAATAAGAAAAGCTCACGGCCAGCGTCAACATGGGCCACCATCTCTGTAACCTGCAGCCTCTATGGACACTGATTACGAAGAGGAATGAAACCAGGATTTCCTGGATAAGCACATGCCTACTCTGCTGCAAGACTGGTGATTCAAACCTTCCCAGAGGCACCGAGGAAGATAGGTCTAGAAATCTGCTTCCGGAATGTCACAGCCTGAAATCCTTATGGAGCAATTCGACTCCGCACACACTGAGGTTGCTATGAGTTGGAATCAACTCGATGGTTAACTGATGGCGTGGTGCCACAGGATAAGCACTCAACCCTAAGGTTGGTTTGAACCACAAGGTCAATGGTTCAAAGTCACCAGCTGCTCCTTGGAAGCCCTATACAAGGTTGCAATGAGTAGGAACCGGCTTGATAGCACTTAACAACAACAACTACGAATGAACATCATGGCCCCAAAAGAAATGAAACCAGCATTCTCCCCAACTTGCCGGGTGGACAGATGAATTAATTACCTGGCTAGGCCTGACCAGCCTCGGCAGGGACACTGTCGGAGTCAGAATCGGCCAGTTCCGCCGGGCCTTCAGGTGCAGTCTGACTCCAGCTGTCTGACCGGTCTGAGATAGTGTCCTCTCCAACTGTCACCTCTACCCAGTCCACCACCACGCCCGACTCCTCATTCTCCTCACTGCCCTGGCCGTCCCGGCTGTTGCCCTCCGACTTGTCTGAGGTGGCCTCTGAGGACTTTGTTGGAAGACAGTCTTTCGCTTGCTCGCCGCCCACTTTCACCCTGGACCCCAATGTCTCCAGGTCCTCGTCACAGAGTTTTCTGGGGTCCTTGTAATATTGCTGCCCCACCTCGCTCCCGTTCTTTGGGCTCTCGGCAATGGGTTTTGGTGTTTTTCTTGAGACGGCATCGTAACTGTGACCATCCATGATGTGTTGACGCTGGTACAGCTCCATCCACTTCAAAGTCCCAGTTCTGAGCAAGCATCTGTTCTCCTTGAACCAACGCACGATTTCAGTTCGGACCAGGCCGGTCTTTGCCGCTAGCTGGTCATATTCTTGGGGAGTGGGCCACTGGGTTCTTGTAAACGTGGTCCTCAGAAGATGAAGCTGCTCTTGGCTTTTTGTAATTGCTGGTGAAGGGCTGGGCAGAGAGCTGGCTAGCTGAGCACTGGAGAGTTGGTCAAGTCGAGAAAGAGTGCCATTGGGGGCCACCATGTCTTGACCTTTTTTACCAGACCCCATGGAATCCAAGACAGCTTGTTCCATACTGTCCCGCAGCTTCCGTCTCTCCGAGAACCAGGAATCGATCTCTCTCCTGCTCAGTTTGGTCTCTGCCCTGAGCCAATCCAGTTCAGCTTGGGTTGGAAAAGAACTTTTCAAAAAGCTATCTTCCAGGATTTTAACCTGGCCCTGGGTCTTTTCTTTGAACTTCTGTGGGGTAAAATCTGGGTACGCGTGGTACGTTCGGCTGTGTCGGGTGGCCGCTAGGGCCATCTGGTCTTTGGCAATGGATTCGCTGGTGATGTGGACGATGCCCCTTTGACATCTATACCGGTGGTCACTGAACCACTTTTTGATCTCGCTTCGGGAGAGGCCGGTCACCTCGATGAGTCTGTAGATCTCCGTGTCATCAGGGAACTGGCTCTGGAGGAAGCTGGCCTTGAGATGTGCTATCTGCTCTTTCGTCTTCTTACGGTCACTGGCCGGGGTCAGTGGCGGGTTGATCACCTTGGGTGGGGGCTCTGGCACCTGAGCAGTGTGTGGACGCTTGGGCTCGGGGGCAGCTTGGGGAGTCACCAAAGGTCTCTTCTGTCCATGGTTGGTCATTCCGGCTACGGCAAGAGCGATGGGGGAGCAAGAGACGGTGGTGGACCCACTGGTCACCTGAGTCAGCACCAGGCTGGTCTGGCCGAGGATCTGGCATGGCAGAGCCGTCTGGAGGATGGGCTGTGGCATTTTGGTGGGGGCCAGCTGGGCGGGCAGCACAGTGATGGTCGGAGGCACTGGCTGAATGGTACCATTGAACATCTTTTTCCGGGCCTCCTCCACCTCTTCTGGGGACCAGCTGATGCCATGCTTTAAGCGCTGGGTGGCAAACCAGATCCGGATGTGCTCCTCCGGGTGTTTGGAGGCAGCTGTCAACCAGGACAACTCAGCCTGGGTCGGGTAAGGGAACTTATTGAAGGAATTGATCATGGTGGCATTGGTGTCCAGGGCAGAGTTGTATTTGGTAGTATTCAGTGGGACGGGGACTTTCGGGACAAGGTTGATATTTGGTGGGAGCTGAACAGAAGGCGTGATATGCCCCAGTGAGTCCTGGAGTAGCTCCATGCCACCAAGTCGAGAGAGGATCTCAGTTGCATCGGCCACCAGGCGGGCAGTCCCATCCACATGGTTCTCCATGTGGGCCTCCTCGGACTTCTTGGGCACCTTCTTGGCATCAGCTTTTGGTTTCCCAGGCTTCATGATGGGGGTTTTGCTCACTGAGATCCCCGGATCGCTGTCACTAACCGTGGGGCCACCATGAGTGATGGAGATGACGTGGTTGGTGGTGTCTATGGACTGCTCTAACACAGTTTGATTGTTGTGTTTGATGAGTTTCAGCTTGAAGTTTGTCTCCCCAGGGTGGAATTTGGAGTTATGGTTGGATAAGGAGTCGTATTTTTTGGTTGTGAAGTTGCACTCGGCGCACACGTACAGGGGGTTGAGGATGACATTGGGGTGCTGCATGTCGACGTGTTCTGTGAACTCGTTCAAATTCTGCGTGGAGTAGGGGCAGTATTTGCATTCGTACCCACCTTGGAGCTTTTTGGATGGGGGTTCCCCTGTAGATTTCACTTCGATGACGTCGTTTTCTTTGGAAGTGTGTTCAGGGTCTGTGGCCCAGCTGTCCTTGGCCACGTCAGGCTGTGGGGTGGCCGTTCCCTTTGCTTTAGCTCTGTCACTGTCTTCGGTCACGTCAGGTTCTACTACTTGTGATGCCCGAACCATGCAGGGAGTTGTAGACTTCCGCTTACTTGCCATGCCTTCTGCTTGGGTGCAGTGGTTTATTTTTGGGGGGAGGGGGGTGCGGTGGGGGCTGTGAAAGTCTTAGAACAAATAAGATAAAAAAGACTTTTGGCTTTATTCTCTTGCAAATGGCTTTGGCTTCCCTTGAATGCTGAAGGTTAGTGCTTAAGTTTTCCGGGAATGCTTTCAGCAGAGAGAACTGTGGCTGCTCCAATCACAAAGGAGGTCAGGCAGCATCGTATCTGTGGGACATAAACAAAGACAGGTCAGCATCTCTTCATAAAGCAAAGGAAACTCAATTTACTTTTCGACTTGCCCTTATGACCTCTCTCCATGGACACCCAAATACAGCGTGACAGTGGGTGCCATGAGTTGGAATCAACTCGATGCTTAGCTGATGGCGTGGCGCCACAGGATAAGCACTCTACCCTTCTCTCTGGGAAGGATGGTAGGAACAAGTCCAAAGCAAGTGGACAAGAATGTGGCCACTGTTTCATGTCCAGAGACCAAGGGCAAGGGACCAAAGGACTGAGATCTTCTCCATGGACGGCTTCATTCATTGCTTTTATACAGTGATCCCCTGTCTGGACAGTTGAGACATATTATTCTAAGATTGAGTATTTTCTTTTACACAGAGCTGAATTTACCGCTGGTGAAGCTGAGACACAATCCTAACCACTTTCCTTGAGAGTTATCAGCCATCCCCATAGTATGCACTGTACTATCTTTTCTTCTCTCACAAAGGGGTGGGACCACCCTTGTCTTACAGCTAGAGCTGTTTCCGGCTTATCTAATTGGTGCCTCTCATCTATCGATTGAGACTTGCAATTAAGAACAAACAAACAAAAGACATTTGCCACTGAGTGGCGGTGACCCCATGTGTGTTGGAGCAGACTTGTGCGCCATAGGGTTTTCTTCTTCTAAACTGTATTTATTTTATGTTGCTGAGAATATACACAACAAAATATATACCTATGCAACCATTTCTACATGCACAATTTAGGGTTGCATCCTTCAAGTTGTGCAACAATTCTCACCCTTCTTCTCTAAATTTCCTCTTAGTAACATAATAAATTCATCCCCGTACCGCTAAAGGAAGGAGCTCTGGTAGTGTAGTGGTTACGAATTGGGCTGCGAACCTTAAGGTCAGCGGTTCAAAACTACCAGCTGCTCTGCGGGAGAAAGATGAGGCTTTTTACTCCCGTAAAGATTTACACCCTAGGAAACCCTGTACAGGGTGGCTGTGGGTCGGAGCCGACTTGATGACACATAACAACAACAACAACAACCCCTAAAGGTTCTTATCTAATGTTTGTTGTCAATTTGACTCCATATGGTGGTGGTGGTGGTATGCTGTGGAGTCGGTTCTGATCATAGCGACCCTGCATAGGGTTTCCAAGGCTGTAAATCTTTATGGGAGCCGAAAGCCTCATCTTTCTCCTGTGAACAGCTGGTAGTTTTGAACTGCTGACCTTGAGGTTAGCAGCCTGACTTGTAACTATTACGCTACCAGACTCCTTTTGATTCCATATACATAGTTCTTAAAAGAACATAATGCTCAAGACCTTTTTCACTAGTTAAGCTAAACTATTATTCCAAAAATATCAGGGGCTATTTTTGGTTTAAGCTTTACAGATTACCTCAGGGCAACACTTTCAGGACTTGATTCACCTGAAAGCCAGGAGCCCATGGAAATTTGAACCTCTGCTGTGCATTTTCCCAATTTTGATAAGGACCTTCTACGTACTCTTGGATCACGATGTTCAGTTAGGGTAGCTGCTCTTCTGTACCTCCAGGTGACCATGGAGGCAGTGAGCCATATATTCCACATCCTCCTCCTCCTATTCCTGACTCTCCTTCCACTATTTCTTCAGGTGAATAGAGACCAATTGTGGCGTCTTGCATGGCCACTTGCAAGCCTTTAAAGACCCCAGGCTCTATTCAATGAACTAGAAGGAAGAACAGAACACTAAACATGTTGTTAAGTGCTGTCTAGTCTGTTTCAACTCATAGAGACCCTGTATAGGGTTTCCGAGGAGTGGCTGGTGAGCTTGAACTGCTGACGTTGTTGTTCAAACTGACCTTGCAGTCCAGCGCATTAACCTACAGCACTACACCAAGGACTCCACTACACATGTTGTTGTTGTTATGTGCCGTGAAGTTGGTTCCGATTCATAGCGACCCTGTACATAGTTTCTGAGGCTGTAAATCTTTATGGGAGCAGAAAGCCTCATCTTTCTCCCATGGAACAGCTGGTAGTTTCAAACTGCTGACCTTGAGGTTAGCAGCAGCCCTATTCGTAACCACTACGCTACCAGAGCTCCTTACTAAACATGTTAGTAGACCAACTAACTGGGATGTCCCATGAAACCCAAACCCAAACCAAGGAATCAAATCCTATGAGATGTTTGGTTGTGCAAGCACCCTCAGTAGTGGCCTCTTTTTTGGTCATTGTTGTAAACATGTCTATTACACAACTTTTGCCAATTCAAGTTCTTACAGGTATACAACTTACTGACAGTAATTACAATAATTGGTTGGGCAACCCCTACCCTTGATATCCCCCCATTTCCCCTTCCCTCCTGCCCCTGGTAGCCACCAATAAACTTTGTTTTCTAGACATTTGCTTTTTTTTTGATTTTTTAAAAATATGAGTATTACAATATTTGTCTTTTGTGATTGACTTATTTTGCTCAGCATGTCTTCGCACTCCATTCATACTGGAACATATATCAAGACTTCATTTCTCCTACTGGCTGAGTAGTATCACCATATTTTGTTCATTCATTCATCTGTAATGTCTACCTTTTGGCTATTGTGAACAGTGTTGTAATGTACACTGGTGTATAAGTTTATTTGTGAGTCTTTGCTTTCCAGTCTTTGGGTATATACCTAGGAATGGAATTGTGGGGTCATATGGTAGTTGTTTTCAGTCTTTTTGAGAAGCTACCATACTGTTTTCCACAAGGGCTGTGTAATTTTGCATTCCCACCAGCAGTGGGTAAGGGTTCTAATTTCCCCACTGGACCGACCACAAGGTTGGTTTGAACCTCAGGACTGGTGTTTCAAACCCACCAGTCACTCTCGGAAACCCTTTACAGGGTCATTATGAGTCGGAACTGACTGGACAGCATTTAACTAATGGCTAATGATGCTTAGCGTCTTTTCATGTGTTTGGTAGCCGTTGGAATGTCTAGTCAAGTCCTTTGCTCATTTTATGATTGGGTTATCTTTTTGTTGTCAAGTTGCCAAAATACTTATTTTGCTTATTAAGTTCTAGTGGGATATATTGTTTCTGAAGATATTTTCTCAGTTAGTTGCTTGTCTTTTCATATTTTTTTTTTGGTAGTCTTTTGACAAAAAATGTTTCTAAAGTATTTATGAAATCCCATTTACTTGTTTTACCTTCGGCTGATTGAGCTTTTGTTACTGTATTAGATAAGCCATTGCTGAAAGCTAGGCCTGACGGCATTCTCTGCTTGTTCTTCTAAGTTTTCAGTTTGTACATTTAGGTCCTTAAATCCATTCTGAATTTGTTTTTGTATCATAGGGTTTTTGAAAGCTGATACTTTGGAAATAGGTTGCCAGGCATTTCTTCTGAGGCACCTCCAGAAACGTGGTGGTGGCATTTCTGGACTTTCCCTAAAAGTGGCCAACCACCTTCCAGTGAACAGGCAGGTTAGCCTCTGGACACTCTTCTCACTGTGCTGAGACGTGGCCTGGACGTCAGGACAAGGAACAGTCTTGGCTCTTGACCTCCCTAGCGAGACAGAAAGGGAGGTGAAAGTCACACTTCAGGGGCCCTGAGGTCAGAGCTGGTGGCCTGGTTCCTGCAGGCTCTGGGCAAGCTCAGTGCTCTGACTCTGGGAGGTGGGGGAGTTGGGGGGGGGTGCGGGACACAAGCGTCTCCTCCAGAAAGAACACCTTTGGTCTTGGGCGGGCGGGGGCGCCACTTTCATTTCAGAGTTTTTCACTGAGCTGTCAGGGAAAACAACAAAGGAAACATCCTATCCAGACATCAAAGCCCCAAAGGATTCTTTTAGCTTTGTGGGGTCTTCTGTCAGTTCCGGTTCGAGTCCTCCACAGTTTAGCAGGGGTAGGATTTTTTGAGGAGGCTGAGGTGGATGGATGCTTTAGGCTTGTGTTCTAGCGATACAACAGAACTCCTTGGAGAATAAGGAGTTTTGCAGGAGTGGGGGTGGGAGAGGAGAAGGGCGAGGATCTAGGGTTTTGTTCTGAGAGACCAGCTCTTGTCTCCTCTGTTTCTGTCCTTACGCAGCACCAGTCCAGATGCATTAAACTAAAGTATCCAGTCGGTACCGAATGAAGAATGAAGCCCTGACAACTTCAATCTTTTCTCCGCTGATAAGAATGTTGTTTATTGGTCCAGTGGTGAGGATTTTTGTTTTCTTTACATTGAGATGTAATCCATACCGAAGGCTGTGCTCTTTGATCTTCATCTTGATCAGATCTTTGATCTGGTCCCATACAGATATTTTTAAAAAGAACATAATGTTTAAGTCAAACCTTTTAAAATTAGTTAAGCTAAGCTATTGTTTGATTTTAAGAAGATTTCAGGGCAGATTTTTGGTTTAAGGTTTAAAGTTTATCTCAGGGAAGTAGTTTCAGGGGTTTATCTAATTTTCATGGCTCCAGGAAATCTGGCGTCCATAAGAATTTGAATTTCTGTCTGCAGTTTCCCTCTTTTGATCATAATTCTTGTATGGAATCTTTGAACAAAATGTCTTGTGGCAAATGAGGCAGGTGACTATGGAGGCAAAGAGGCACACATTCCATATCTTCTTCCGATGCCTAACTCTCCTTCCTCTACTCCGGGTGGATTGGGCCTTGCGTGGTTCCTCACAAGCTTTTAAGATCTCAGGCGCCTCACATCGAACTAGGAAGTAGAACTGAAGCACTAAACATGTTCTTAGACAAAGTTAACTGGGATGTCCCATGAAACTATGACCTTAAATCTCTAACCCAAGGAACCAAATCCTGTGAGGTGTTTCGTTGTTCATAAGTACTTACTCTTTTTTCCCCTCCACTTTGTCATCATTGTAAATATTATCACACTTTCGCCAGTTC